TGCACAACGGTGTGTGTTTGTCAGAATCTGCAGGAATGTGCACTAAAAAGGGTAAAGTGTAGGTAAACTACATACTAGTAAACTAGTAAACTACATAGGTAAACATAATGGTGATGCCATTAATAGAAATACAGACGTGAGGAATTGCTGGTTTAGCAGCAAAGACTCTGGCTTTGGACATGGTAAATTTATGCTAATGATGAAAAAAGTCCAGGTAGAAAGACTCAAAGGTGACTGCTGATGGGAATGGTTGCAAATGTTGAGGGAGGACTTTGAAGACAAAAGTCCTGGGGACAGCTATATGTAGAAGGTGAGAGAAGGAAGACAATCCAGTCAAGGGTAAAGAAAACACAGTAAGGAGGAAAACCAGATGGTCAGTGTCCCAGAAACCAAAAGAGAAGGAGATTTCAAGAAGGATGGGGTGGTCAACAGTGTTAAATGCTGTAGAATGTTGAAACAGGATGAGGAGAGCATAGCCAGCTGGATCCAGCAACTGAGAAGTCAACACTGATTTCAATGAAAGCATCTGTACTAAATGTGAAACCCTGTACAATACAGGGTGAGAGTAATTTCAAATGTAGTGACACTCCAACTGTATTTGAAGGGGCTTAAAAGAGTATTTACGCTTTAGCGAAAGTGCACCTGGGCATTTGCAAGAAAGTAGACCTATATACAAACAGGCAAGTTTTTACTTGTAGGTCTTAACCTACCTACAGCTTATTACGTGCTTTTGGAAATGCTCCAAGTCAGCATTCAAAAGATTGGGCTCTTATGGAAATGAAACCTGATGCAAATTTATCCATGCAATCAATGATCATTTGCCAAAGCAGCACTGTGTATGGATTACCGAGGCTCCCCTCTATGGAGTACAGTATGATGTCTTTCAATGATAGGAAGAGAGAAATAGCACTTCCAGATCTGCAGAAGCCTGCGTAAATTTCCAGCCCAGTGTTGGACTGACTGCTGCTAGGGAGAAGCTAGGGATGCTGCTAGGTCTTGGGGCTGCAGTGGGTTTGTGGGGAGGTGGGGATAGGGCATATGTGTGTATGAGGCATGTGTCAAAAATCTCTTCCAACTGTTGCCTCAAACACCCACATTTTTATCAGGCTGTTTCTCCCCCGGCCCTTTTTTTCCAAACAGTTTGGCTAAGATATAGTTTATATACCATAAGATCCTCTGGTTCTAAGTGTATAGCTGATTATTTTTAGTATATTTATGCAGTTGTGCAGTTATTATTACAATCCAGTTTTAGATCACTTCCAACAGCCCAGAAAGTTTTCCTATGCCCTTTTGTCGTCAATCCCACCCCCAGTCCGAAACAATCACTGATCTGTTCTCTGTCTCTGTAGTTTTGCTTCTTTTCATAAATGGAATCATTCAATATGTAATCTTTTGACTTTGCTACCTTTCACTCAACATAGAGTTTCTGAGATTTATCCATGCTGTGGCAAGCGTCAGCAGTTCTTTTATATTGCCCAACGTTATTAGTCCATTGTATGGATATACAGTTTGCTCAGCCATTCACCAGCTGATGGACACTTGCATTCCTTCTAGTTTTTGGCTGTTATGAATAATACTGCTGCCATCACTCAAGTACAAGTCTTGTTGTGGATACAGGTTTTCATTTCTTTATTGACTAACATCTTTTCATGTGCTTATTACTAGCTATTCATGCATCTCTTTGATAAAATGTCTATTCTTTTTTTTTTTTTAATTGGGTTGTTTGTCTTCTTATTATTGAGTTGTAAGGGTTGGCTCTGTTTCTTAAAAGGAGACTAGGAATCAAGTGTGAACGAACAGAATTTTTTTGAGGATGGGTTAATTCTTTCCTGTCTGTGACTTCATCTGCCACCATCACTAAGTCCCCTACCTCTCTAACAACTACTACTTCCATCTCTTTGTCTGATTCCAGATATTAGCTGTACTATGTTGATGGCACATAACAACAATATGAGCAATCATCTTCTCTTCTCTTATTCTCACCATCCTCAAGCCCCATTCCTCCACCATCTCCTGCAGCACACTTATTTATTGAAAACAGACTTCCATTCACCCTCAGCTTACTCTATGATGTTTCTTTCCTCCACCTCCTCACCAGAACTGAAACTTAACTTTCACTTGAAGACAACAGCTTCTTTGAAACACGTAGCAATAGAGGCCACCCTTCCCCCTTCTTCCTCTGACTCACTGGGAGGAGGGTGAGAGGACATCTTCTTGCTTTCCAGTACCACACTCGGATCCTCGTCTCCCTGTCATTTCTCAAGAGCTGCCAACTCTTTTATCTTGAAGTTCATGCCATCCATTAACATTGTTTCTGCCCACTTTGTTTACTCTTTTGCCTCTAATCCAGAAATATCAATGTTGCCTCTACCTCTAGACATCACAGTCCTCTGGACTTATACATGTGATTAGAATTGATTACTCTTCATTTCACTCAACACCCAGCACACTCTAGATCTGTGAATCATTCAAGTTTCCCAGCTTCCAAAACCCTTCTTGAGTAATTAGTAGTAGCAGTGGAACCTACTGGCCATTCCATTTCTTCCTGAAACTTTCTCCCTTTGGTAATTATGTTTGTGTGTCAACTTGGCTGGGCCTGGTTGAGTGGCTGGGCAGCTGGTGGTAGTTATTCCCCATGAGGAGACTGGCAATCAACTCCATGGTGGGATCTACCACAAGCAGCTAAGTAGCTGACTTTAGGATGTGGTCTGCTTCCTGTATATAAAGGAGAAGCCTTGGGAATGGTCTCTAGCATTTGGCACACTTGGACCCTGCATGTAGCCATGTGGTTGCTCACCAGCCTGCTATGCTCTGCTGACCTTGGGACTTACAATGGACTTAAGTTAATGGCCTGCCGTGTGGTTTGGTAACATCGGGACTGTGCTTTTAGCATTACTTGCAACCTCGGGCTTTGCAGCCTCAGCAGCCAGCAGCTGCTTCTTCTAAGTGAAGAAAAGCCTCTAGCTCCAGTGGGCTGGGAGCAGGGGGCAGAGCTGCACCCCAAGGTTGAAGGGCTTTCACCCAGTCCCTAGAATCTGGCACTTTGAACTTGGACTTAAAGCCTTCAAATTGTAAGAATAAACTCCTGCTTGTTAAGGCCATCCCATGTGTGGTATATTCTTGTCAGAGCATCACTAGGGAACCAGCACATTCCCCTTCTGGCTTTCATGAATACTCTCTTCTCTTCGGTCTTCTACTTCTCTGCTTACTCCTCTGTCCTTTCAAATTCTCTTCTTCCCTCATTTCACATATGTAAGTTCTACTAAACAATTGCTTTTGGGCTCTCAACTGTGTATTTTCAGCTGTGACCTCTTTTACATTCTCAGTTGCCCGCTGGACCTCTCTGCCTGGATGTTCCACTCTCAGGTCAAACTCAGTATATTTAAGGTTCAAGGTATTTTTTTCTCCTAAACTCGCCGTTGCTTCTATGCTTCACACAGTTGTTATTATACAGGCTATCACTCTGCTCATTCGTGACCTCTGTTAACCCATTGCTGATTCTGCCTCTGACATGCCTCTCTTCCCATCTCTTCCTCTCCGTTCTCACAATTCAATATTAATTCAAGCTCTTCTCCCTCTCATTTCATCTCCTGATTGGTCTTCCTGCCTCCACTCTTCTGAAATCATTTCACAGAACAAGGAAAGATGTGATCTCATCTGATTACACTTCAATGTTTCCACCTGTCAGAAAATAAATTTCAGACTCCTTATTGTGTTGTTTCAAGGACCTCTATGGTAAAGTCTGGAAGAAAAATTTTAGTATGAATACATTTTTATTTCTTATAACTTCCCTCTGCAGGAGCTCTGGTAGCATAGTGCCTAAGGCACTTGACTGCTCACCAGAAGGATGGCGGTTCAAACCCACCAGCCACTCCTCAGAAGGAAGCTTGGGCAATCTACTTCCGTAGAGATACTGCCTTGGAAACCCAAGGAGGGGTCACAATGAGTCGGATCTGACTCAATGGCAGTGAGCTTCCTCTACTTATCATTTCCATAGAACATCAAAGACATTACGTTTTCTTGGCCCTCTGCCTCACCTGGATTGGTATTCCTCATTACATTCCCCCTCTCATCCTCGCAGCTGCCCAATCCTTCAATCTTTTAAGGCCCATTTAAACGTGGCCTCCTCTACAAAGTATAAGGGTGACTAGGTGGCTGTCCTCCTCCTCCCTCAGTGCTCAGGTACATCTTCTGAAGCTCAGGCTGCGAGAGGAGGCTGGCTTTGTAGATAAAGAAGGTGCTCTTCTAGTAAGGTGCTAGGATAATCGCCTTCACCACAGTCTGCCTCAGCACTGCCTTCCGGATTCCACCAGCTGGAATTCCTGCTGCCATTGGTCTACGAGGGGCATAGTTAACCCTGGTCCACTTTGGGTATAATTATCGATGGTCATGTCTTCTCTTCGCGGAGAAGCCAAAGCTCTTGGAGGACAAGGTTCACACCTGGTTCAGCCCTGGGCTTCTTAAAGATGCAGCATGGTGCTCCACTTGACACATGTTTTTGAATAAATGAATGCATTTATGAAAACATACAATGGATACCTGCTGGACAACAAAGTTCATTTTTATGTGCAAAGAAAACCGAAATTAGCGGTATTGACTTTTTTTCCAACTGAGGTTGAATATGACAGAGAGTGGAGGCAGTGGTAGTTCAGAGGTAGAATTCTTGCCTTCATGTGGGAGAACCAGGTTCAATTCCCAGCAATGCACCTCAAGTGCAGCCACCCCCGTCTGTCAGTGGAGGTTTGTAAGTGTTGTTATGATGCTGCCTAGGTTTCAGAGGAGCTTCCATACTAAGACTGAGTAGGAAGAAAGACTTAGTACTTTGCTACTGAAAACCCTATGGATCGCGATGGTCCAATCCTCAACCGACGGTGGGGATGACACAGGACTGGGCAGTGTCCCTTCCAATATGCACGGGTGGCCATGAGTCAGGCACTGACTCTGTGAAAGCTAACAGCAGTGTGAGTACAAGAGAAGGTCAGGGATGACCAGCACATTACCACATCTGACTTGGTGGTGAACTTCTGAGTCTGCAGGCTCTCTAATGCCATCCACTTCACGGGCAGCTTTGCACCAGTTTTGTTGTGCACACTATAGTATTCTTTATCATACACATCCCGGGCGAGACCAAAATCAGCAACTTTGACGGTGAATTTTTCATCCAGCCTGCAGAAACAACAAAAATTATTACTGGTGGTTGAAATAAAGAAATTTACAGCAATTCTAAATATCGATGGGTTTTAATAAGTGTGAAATCCATAACTTCTGAAAGGAGTACTTCATCTGGTCTCTATTGGCTAACAATAAATTACAATGGAATTCCTGAATAAAGTGCTTGACATTTACATTACAAATTCAACAGGCCCAGGAAAGGGATGATCAATGACCTGAAGCAAGAAAACCTTCTATGCTTTAATGTAGACCTGGAGAAACTGTGAAACTGGCTCCCCTCCTAGCTTTCTTGTGGTTGTGAAATAGAGTATGCCAACTGACTACCCCGTTGTGTGGGGAGAGACATGGCAGGAGGCTGTCAGCTTACCTTTTTCATTCTGTGATTGGCTAGGCTCTTGTGTGCTGTTGTGTCAATTTTGACTCATAGTGATCCCCAAAAAACAGAATAGAACTGCCCCAAGGGTTTCCAAGGCTGAAATCTTTACAGAAGCAAATTGCCAGATTTCCCCCCACCACACACACACACACACAACAGCTGGTGGGTTTGAAAGGTAGACCTTTTGGTTAGCAGCTGAGTGCTTAACCCTTGCAACCACCGGGGCTCCTCATTGGCTAGGCTAGGACATAAAATTTCTATATTCCATCACTGAGGTAAAGCATGTCAGAGAAACAGCAAGGATCAACAAACATCAATTTCCTCTCTTGAGGGCTTGCCTCTTTTGTTTAAGCAGGCTTCCATGTTACCTTTGCCCACAACCAAGGTAGGAAATTAACAGCACAGTGCTTCATTCACACATACCGTAAGTCATGAATCAGCACCACGCAAGGGAAAGCACTGAATCAATTACAAACTGTTGACTGTTGTATTATACAGCCCAGGCAGCCAGACACAAATAAAGTTCTTTGTATATTCATTCCCAAATACCATTTTTGGTAGGGCTTAGGCAGGCTGACTTGCCAAATCCACTCTTGGGAAGTTACAATATATTGGTATTTGTGTTACCAACCCTCTCTTTTTCACTGTAAAATGTTGAAGATCAAATTTTCCCTCCCAAACACTAATGCAGTGTGAAACCACAACATTGGGGACTGCTAGGGAGAATGACCAAGAAAAGCAAAAGTAGACAGCAGCTGGCTGAGACCCCCTGTGGAGAATCCCTTTTAAAGTCTCTGTTTGATGAAGTCTGAAAGCTCCGCCCACATTCCCAGAGCTTACACATCAATTTAAAATTGTAACGGAAATAAAGGACTTTTGCGTAAGAAGAGAAAAAAACACTCCTACTAGCATGGAACACTGGGAAACAGATTCCTCTTTGTCACTTAATTTGGGCTATGGGCACAGAGATTTTTATACTTACATACAGTTTCTTGCCGCCAAGTCTCTGTGAACAAACTTTTTGCTTGCAAGGTATTTCATGCCCTTGGCTACTTGAAGACCAAAGCCAATAAGATCTTTCACAGTTGGGTTCTGCAATCAAAGGGAGTTGGAAAGGCATAAACTAAGCACATACTGTTCTAATGTTTATCTCAGAATTCTGAAATGTTTATAAGAATTATTTTGTCTAATAACTCGTGCCTGTTTTGATAACCCTCAAAACCAAACTCATTGCTTCAGTTGATTCTAACTCACAGTGACCCCCATAAGGTTTCCAAGGATATAAATCTTCACAGAAGGAGACTGCCTCATCTTTCTCCTGTGGAGTGGTTGGCGGATTCGAACCGCTAACCTTCTGGTTAGCAGCTGAATGCTTTAATCACTACACAACCAGAGCTCCTTCCTTTAATAACCCATTGCCATCGAGTTGACTCCGACTTATAATGACCCCCCCCACTGGGTCTCTGAGGTGGTAAATCTTTACAGAAGTAGATTGCCTGGTCTTCCTTCTGTGAAGTGGTGGGTGGGTTTGAACTGCTGACCTTCTGGTTAGCAGTCAAATGTCTTTGGCACTGTGCCATCAGAGCACCTATTTTCTTTTGACAACAGCAACCATTTATTAAATACCTGATGCACCCAGAGATGCACTGGAAGAAAGGCCTGTGACTTACATCTGAAAAATCAGCCTTTGACAACCTTACGGAGCACATGACTTGGAATCAACACGACTGTAACTGGGTGGATGTTGTTGTTGTTGTTATGTGCCATCGAGTCGGCCCCGACTCATAGAGACCCCTCCTTGGGTTTCTGAGGCAGTATCACTACGGAAGTAGGATTGCCCAACCTTCCTTCCAAGGAGTGGCTGGTGGGTTTGAACCGCCAGCCTTCTGGTGAGCAGTCAAGTGCCTTAGGCACTATGCTACCAGAGCTCCTGGTATGCAAAGAGCCCCAGGGTGATGCAAATGGTTAATGAACTCGGTTGCTACTTGGAAGGTTGGTGGTTTGAGTCCACTCAGAAGTGCTGTGGAAGAAAGACCTGGTGATCGCCATCTGAAAAGTCAGCCATTGGAAATCCTATGCAGCTTCTACTTTGACACATATGGTGTTGCAACTGGTTGGCATCGACTCAACGGCGGCTGGTTGGTTATTGTACGCAAAGCCCAAGGCTAGATATTTTTATATATTATGGCTACTCCTTGTCCATTCCTGTAAGGTAGGTATTACTGGTTTCATTTTCCAGACAAAAACTAATTGTCCAAAACCACAGAGATGGTAAGTGGTAGAGACAGGATTTTAATTCCGGTCTGTTAGTCTCCAAAGCTCACACTGTAGAGACAGTAATCACATTGATTGGCAGGACATGGAAATCCACAGTAGCCCTCCTACAGGTGCTGAAGTATCAGCCCACAACTCCAGTGGCCAGGACCCATACAGAGAACAGGAATCCCAGTCTCCACAAATGCCAGCCATAAAACTGGATGGACATAGCACTGCCTCCAGCAATAATAAGCATGATGTCTGACATCGCATAGACACCACTGTGGCGTCAGGAATACAGGGTCTCTTCGTTAGCAGTCACTGTAGAGCCTGTGAACTCAAGAAGCAGAGATACAGACCATGGGTCACGCAAGAAGGGCTGTGCCTCGCTCAATGCACACAGTGTGTAGAGAGGCCAGTTCCTCGTGTTCCAAGCTTCCCTTGGAGCACATGTGTGTTAGTGCTGAGGGCTTGGTGTCTTAGGGGCAGAATTCCTGACTGCTGTGTGGGGGACCCGGGTTTAATTCCTGGCCATTACACTGCCTGCGCAGCCACCACCTGTCTGTCAGTGGGTACTGTGATGATGTGGAACAGGTTTCAGTGGAGCTTCTAGACTAAGATGGTCAAGGAAGAAGGGTGTGGCAATGTACTTCAAAAAACCAGCCAGTGAAAGTCCCAGGGGTCACAGCAGGGCAGTCCACAGCCGATCACGGGGATGGCACAGGACCCAGTGGTGTTCTGCTCTGGGGGAGAGGGGGGGACTTGATGGCCACAAGCACCAAGTTAGTGCTGCTTGCTGGTGTCCACTCCTGGGTTGTGAAAGGCATGGGACTGGATAGCAGGAACTCTCTATCAGGCTTTAACCCTGGGGAATAAGACTTGCTTCCAAAAGCAGAGAACTAGCATATCTAAACAAATCGGCCTACTGGATAATGGCGAGAGGCAAAGCGGGAGAGCGTGGGGCTCGTCAGGGCAGTTCTGTGCTCTGTAACTTGCCTTATCTGCAAAAATCCACTGCTGCGGATAATGTGAAGACTTCTAGCTGAGCACAAAATATGTCCTTATATTTCTATAGTGCATTTTCCCTGAGAAACTTGACTCCATGTTTATAATGTTGTTTCTGATCAAGAGCAAAGCACATCCGTTAACTCCCACAGAGACCTATCCAGTAGGGCCAAGAAAAAGCTTGAGGCCTCCCTGACTACAGTTCTGGGGGCTTCTCCCTCTACACTCCCTGGCCCAGCCAAGGCTTGTTCACCCTTTAGAGCCTGGTAGAAATGTCACTAAGAAATCTGCTTGCAAGAGCCCAAGAACCTCTTCTATAACACTAAGCTCAGGCATTGAACAAATAAGTATGTACTGATGGCCTATACACTGAAGAGTATTTGAGCTACTGGAGCTACAAAAGTGAGCCAAACACACAAACATCTCCACTCTCATAAGCCTGCATTTGAATGGGATGATGTGCATACACACAGACATAGATACCTACATACATATACTGTTAGAGTTATTATTTGTTTGTTGTCTAGTATAGCACTGTTGTTGTTATGTGCTGTCGAATCAGACCCGACTCATAGCAACCCCAATAGAAATATAATGCAACCACCCGGGTAAATTAAAATTTTCTAGTACCCACATAAAAAAAAAGTAAAAAGAAACAGATGAAATTAATTTTCATCATCTATTTTTCACCCCACCATATCTAAAAAATTACATGTCAACATGTAAGCAATATAAACAATTATTCATTATATAGTTTACCTTCTCTTTTAATACTAAATATTCAAAAATCTAGGATGTTATATATTACAGCACATCTCGATTTGGACTCATCACACTTTACATCGGCCTGTGATCACAGTACTGTAGTGTGCAGGCCTAGTGTTATCAACTGAGAGGAAGTGTGTTGGAGAAAATAAAGCAAGGAAGAGATACAGTGAAGGCCTGGGGGTGGGATGGGTCACTTGCAATTTTAAATGAGTCAAGAAAGCCTCAATGTGAAGTTGCCATTAGGTAAAAGAGCTGAAGGAGATGAGGTAAGTGGACATTTGCCGGAAGAGTGTTTCGGGCAGAGGGAGCACCAGGTACACAGGTCCTGAGGTGGGAGAGTACACAGCAAGTCTGAGGAACAGTAAATGGCTCATTTGTAATTAACGGTTCAATGTCCTCACTTCTAGAGTTAAAATTTCATGTGCGCTGAGGCTGGCTCTGTCTCTGTTTTTCCTGCGCTGCACTCAGTTTCTGGCACATAGCAGGCACTCACCCAAAGATGACTGTATGTACCTCTAAGGCAGAGCAAGGCTGCATGCAGGACAGGTGCCTCCATCAAGGTATATCCCTATTTTCCCACTAGGAAAGAGGATTTTAAAGTACAAGTGAATAGACTCAGCCTCCAGACCTTTCAACTATGGCAACTTTCACGTGTCAATGGCTAAAAGCTTTTGCAAAAGTCCAAGACACACATACTTTGAAAGGCTGGCTGGTAAATTTCCAGCTAGTTCACCAGTCAGCAACTGGTAATATACTTACGTGTGTCTCATTTCTGATGAAATTTCGAAGATCGCCATGTTTCATGTATGGTAGGACCACCAGAGGAGACCCTTCAGTTCGAAGGCAGATTCCCAAGAGCGAGAGAACATTGGGATGGCTGAAGTCTTTCATGATGATTCCCTCAGTCAGAAACTGGGAAACTTCTCCTATGTCAGTGATCCCTGAGAAAGCCGGAGGCAGAGACATTAACTCCATGATGACACAAAGCCATGAGGCTAAATATTATCCTGAGACCTCATCTTCACAGTGTCTTTTTACAGTACATCTGAGTGAATGATGTCACCCTGCACTGTGCCTTTCAGGTCACCACCTACACCCATCTCCATTAAGAGTCCAACATCAGATTGTCTCATACAGAACCATACCTTGTCCAACACAGAAAAGGGATAGGGAAGCAGGTCAGTCCACTTCTGCATCAATTGTTTAGGTAAAACCTTTTCTGTAAAAAGCCAGAGAGTAAATATTTTTTGGCTTTGTGGGCTATACAATCTTTGTTGCAACTACTCAACTTTGGTGGCGTGGTGGTTAAGTGCTAAACTGCTAACAGAAAAGTCAGTGGTTCAAACCCATCAGCTGCTCTGTGGGAGAAAGATGAGGCTGTCCGCTTCTGTAAAGTTTTACAGCCTTGGAAACCCTCTGGGGCAGTTTTACTCTGTCCTACAGGGTTGCTATGCGTCAGAATCAACTTGATGGCAGTTTTTTTTTTTTTTTTTAAACCAAACTCTGTCGTTTTAGTATGAAAGCAATCTTGGATAATACACAGTTTTGCCCAGTAAACTTAATTTGTGAAAATAGGCAGTGGGTAATAGTTTGCCAACCCCTCGATTAGGAGAATTTGATGACTTATTAACATATGGTATCTAAATAGATTTTTTTTTTTGTTAAAATTGTTTCTAGATAGTAATACCTGGGGATTGACTCTAGTCACCACTGAGGGAGAGCCAACTATTTTAAAATTCTTATTCTGACCAGAATCTCTCTGATGATAGTAATAGTGTTGGTATTCTTTTACACATGCAGTGTATTTTGAGACCTGGAAAAGCCACTAGAGATCCATACAGACTAAGTAGATATTGACATAGACCAGGCACAGAGAGGAGAGAGATTTCTCAGTGTTAGGGCTCTCCTGAGCATAACTGGCAGAGTGCTATTCTTTCTTAAAGCAAATTTATTGATAATCTTAGTTAATCCATCAGAGTTTGTAGTTAGATTTCATACAGACGGTCCCTTTAATTACCTTGTGGTCAGATTTCCAACAATATCAATCACGTAGAATAGAATTCAGCATGGAGGTTTATATAAAGAAAGGCTGAACCAATCTGCAATGATGTGTCTTGCAGGGGACATTGTCCACTTGTATATTTAAACCTCATTAATTCCAAGTTACACAAACTTGTATGTAATTGATTAGCATTTTTAGGCTGCTGCAAATTATAAGCAGACATTTAGAAATGGTGGGAGAAGCAAGTGCACTGACTTGACATGGGAGACTTTCGGCATAGGTGGAGGCAGGAAAAGGCTAGTGAATGGAGTCCATTGGGTTGTACAACACAGTAATTGATGGCCACAGTTATAGCTCTGGGTCATCAGTAAAGACTTACTTTATGTTTGGAACCATTCCCTTTCTTAAAAGAGAATGAAATTCCTTAAAGAAAAAGATTTTCTCAATTATAGCTACAATTAAGAAAATATATTTCAGCATTAAAAGGGAGTAAGCTTTCGGCATTCAGGAAGTTCATTTATGTGGCATACCTCATTCTCCAAAAATGTGGATAAATTAGGTATCACCACACTTACTATTTTCCAATTTTCTGCCAACATATTTTTCTCCTCTTTATTTTTTTATCTTTTTAATGGGGGTTGTGGTTAAAAAACAATTATAGCAATGCCTTGGGTAAAATGAGTCATTGCTACTGTATGTGCCAACATGCTTCCAATAGTTTCCAGAAATGTCATGTGCAAAACAAATACTATAAGCCAAACACATTAAATGATACTTTGCTCATCTCCAAACCTCCTTTTTCTCCACCCGTACTACTGAGGGCTCTGAAGGATCATTTCAGAGGCATTATTTCATTAAGAGTTTAGGTCAAACAAGTTTTCAGGATTAGACCCATAATTCCAGTAGGGGCTGAGCTTTTCTCAAGGGAAAGTGTAAATTGACATTTTATTATAAACTGCTTATTAGTTTGTAAACCACAGAAGTGTCCACTGTTAAAATAAAATGTCACTTACTATTCAAGGATTTCACAGCGCAGTGAATTTTCTTGTCATCATTGTCCAACAAAGTCCCATGATAAACACACCCAAAATGCCCTATGTGAAAGAGGGTAGCAGGTTAGTGTTGTACTATTTTTCTTTTTAAAAAATATATTGTAGTAAAATACACATAATAAAAACTTGCCATTTTAAAAGGTACAATTCAGTGACATGAATTACATTCACCACATTGTGCAACCATCACCACTATCTATGTTTTTCATCCCCCAGCACACATACTTTGTACCTTCAGCAATAACTGCCTCCGTGCTCCTCCCTCAGCCCCTGGGAACCATGAACAAACTTCTGTCTGTATGAGTCTGCCTCTTCTAGATACTCCATATAAGTGGGATCATACACTATTTGCCCTTCTGTGTCTGAATTATTTCACTAAGCATGTTTTCCAGATTTATTCATGTTGTAGCATATATCGAAACTTCTTTTTTCTTAATGGCTGAATCAATATTCCATTGTAGAGATACATGTCGTAACACTTTAAGTTGTTGTTGTTAGTTGCTATGGAGTCCATTCTAATTCTTGGAGACCACAGGTATGCAGAGTAAAACTGTACTCCAGAGATGTTTTTTTTTTTTTTAATTGTGATCTGTATGAAAGTTTACAGAGCAAATTCATTTTCCATACAGCGTACAGATTCCACAGGGTTTCCAAGGTTTTGACCTTTTGGAAGGAGGTCATAGATCTGGCTTCCGAAGTGGCTCTGAGTGGGTTCGAACAACCAACCTTTCGTCTTGTACTCTAGCGCTTAACCATTTAAATATGCAACGCTTACTGATTAAGCTCTTTATAATCTCCATTTCCTTCAATATTCTGTAAGGAAGAAAGTACTTTTTTTTTTTTTTTTAATACTTTTGATTAAGACTTCAACTGTGTGTGTATATGTGTGTGTTTCTGACTGTATGTAGATGATTACACACATCACCTAATGATATAAGCAATGTTATTATTTAACACATGGTAAAAAATGCAGGTGATATGACTACTGTTAAAGACTAATGTTATAAAATATCCAACTATAGTGGAACCCCTAAAAACAAAGACAGCTGTCTCATAAAAAAATTTATTATTTTTAAGGATCAAATAATAACTCTTAAATATGAAAGTAAAGTTTTACTCAAATGAAGAAACATAAGAAAGTAAACTCCCTATATTCCAATAAACTGAGGTGAAATAAAAGTATGTTACTACTAGAAATAAGATTAGCATCACAGAATAAGGATTTCCCCCATTAGTCACTGATTAATATGTAATCCAGGTTGGCAGAAACTGAAAGGCAGTTGCCCAAAAGAAGCAAATTCATTCTGACTCATTTCATCTAGTTCTCGCTGGCTTTAGCCTCATCACTTTCCCAATGACAGCCTTTTACTCAGTGGTAATAATTTTCTTCAGAGGTGCCAAATGTCTGATAGCTGTTAAAGTCAGTCATTCATTTATCCAGCCAATCAGCCAGCCAGCTGACTCTCCGAGTGCCTGGGATAGTGTGTCAAGCACTGAGTGCCCCTTTTGTAATGTGAGATGAATATAATGAGACCTCTGCTCGAGTGCCACATTCTACTGGGCAAAAACATGCAAATAAATAAGAGTTAATATTTCTAAGAACAGAATCATTAAGGAATAATTGTCATCGCTGCACCTTTCATGGTTACGACAGAAATTCGAATTTTATAAGTGTAGAATTAGAATGTAGTTAGTGAGGTCACACACCCTAAAATTGGTGCAATTACTGGGATTTATAGGCTGGTGATGGATCTATATATTATTCTGATGTCAGACATAGAAACATGTTTGTTAACAGTGACCCTGTATAGTAAAGGAGGAGCATGTGAAAGGTTGAGATCTGGAGCATGTGCTGGGGGGATGTGTGGCTGTGACCACAGGAAAATGAGAGGCCTGGTGTCGAGAGAAGGCAAATGGTGCCATCGGCTTCTTGAGCATCATGCTAGCAGGCGCTGTGCCACTCCTGCCAGCACTCACTGAATAAAAGGGATCAGAGGCCAGGCAGTAAAAGGTAAAAGCTTTTTAGAAAAACCAGGGAAAAGTGGAGTTCATTTATTTCCCAGCCACGGCTTTCCCTTCTGGTTCGTTTCTTTTCTTGCTAAATATTTCCTCAAATACTGTTTATGCTAGCTGTTCCTGCTGCCCTGGAGGCCTTATTACAAATAGCCATTTCTCCCTGCGTGGAGAAATGAGACTGCTTTGTAGAGATGATAGATGCTGCTTCAGATCATGGGAATGCTATAAATTCCCCATCTTCTGATGCTGTCCAGCAGTGCACAAATGCTATAAACCAGTACTGCAGACTCAGCCACTGTTCTCAGGGTAAAGAGAGACTAGAGAGAGATACAAGGGAAAACGCTGGAATTTAAACGAATGATTTTTAAAAGGGAGCACGTGGCACTTTTCAAGAAATTAGAGTTGCCATTGTAAAAAAGATGAGAAGGGAATGTGATTTATTCCTAATATGTGTGGAAGACTAGGCTTTGCAGTGCTGCATTCCTGTGGAACAGAAATTGAGTTTGGGTGTTATCATTGCCATTGTCTAAATTCCTAATCTGCAAAGGGAGAAGATAAAATGCTTACCGGGAAACCGTATTTAACAAAAGGCTGAGTGGAAACTTACCTCTTCCTATGACTTCATTGAAATGCACAATCAGGCTGCTTGCCCCGATCACTACGTGCTGCACCGCCTGGACCAGCTCTGGATTTAGAGCTCTGATGTCAATGTGCACATCATTTTGCAGTAACGGTCTGGAGATATCAGAGTCCCCACTAGATGGAATGTGGGACAGGTCCGTCAGAGGGTACTGCACTTGTCGGCATGATCCATTCTGAGATGAGTTAGGAAACTGGTCTGCAAGGTAAAGGGAGATTACGAGAAAACAATCCCGAGACTTCACTTAGTGGGGACTGCAACAGGGGCAGTGAGATGAATTAATAACGAAGCCTCAACTTTAAAATTAAGGAACTGGTGGTTACATCACTGAACAAGGCTAGGAAGAGCCTTTACAGAGGAATTGGTTTAATGAAAAGATAGTAAGTTGGGAAAAACAGACTGGCTTGTATATACAATGTTTTTAAAAAATATTTGTAAGTTTCCTTTTTAGGTAGACTAAACATTTTGGAAGTGTGTTTACCCTCTATGTTTTACTTTTTATTAAATAGGTAAAACTCAGGGTTGAGGTTTATCTTTGAATAAAGTATAATCTTAAGAATGAGAAGCAGCACAGTGGGCAAACACCTGCCTTGTCTCACAAAAATACAGCTCAAATATAAGAAATGAAAATGAGGCCTTTTGAGAGACTCACTCAACTCACTGCCTTCGAGTCAGTTCTGACTCATAGCAACCCCTCCTGGGGTTTCCGAGGCGGTATCTCTACGGAAGTAGATTGCCCAGTCGTCCTTCCGAGGAGTGGCTGGTAGGTTTGAACTGCCAGCCCTTCTGGTTAGTGGCCAAATGCCTCAGGCACTACGCCACCAGAGCTCCCTTTGAGAGACTAGTGATCTATTAATGGAATTAATCAGTATTGCTCAAACCTTTATGGGTTCTTAGCCAAGGAAAGAAATACACAGTAAAATATACATACATACGTTGATAGCTAGATAGATAGGGTTAGAAATAGATAATGGATAGATTTCTAGAACTGAGAGCTTTTCCCATAGTGTGAAGTTCTCCGACGCGTGGTTATGGTACTGGATAATGGTATTGCTGTTTAGAGAAGGCAGGTTAGAACTGGGTTAGTGTGATGTCCCCATAGCTTCACCAAGGGCACTTGGAAAGTGGCAGACACTCTTTTATAGATTGCTCTTTAAACCTAGTTGTGTAAGAGTTGCAGGTGAGGTTTTCTTTTGACAAGGAGTAGCCTTTTTCATTTCCTTGAAGATCTGGTATCTCCACCATGGGTAAGGAACTGTGGTGCTGATGGTGAATTGATACCAAAGAGGTCAGAGAAGTCACCATGTGCTTCACCCTTTTCACTGGGAATCTATAGCTGTCAAGGAAAGGCCATCGCAGCAGCAACTAACTAGAAGATAGACTAGGTAGGGTATTGATATATACCAGTTCACAACACGAGGAGGTGGAGGGTGTCACGGGAGAGGCACCTATTGGCCTCAACAGATAATATTTGTTTGCTGGCAAATGAGCAGGGAAATAAGAACTTGACAGGGGCATAAAGAGGGAGCTGATGGTACTGCAATTATTTCTAGCCCCCCTAATCATTTTAGTAGTTTCCACAGGGGGCATTTTGGTTAATAACAAATCAGCATGGCCAGGGCGGTAAATCTCAACAGTGATTAACCAAGATCATTTGGGCCCCCCGCCTACTGTCAGAGCATTACCTGGAAATACATGAGTTGCAACCTTAAATGAAGGCTAGAGAATGTCAAGTAAAAACAGAAAATGTTAGGTGGGTGAGAAAGGGAGGGGGCCTAGCTGGGTGCCTGCTCCTTGAATCGCAAGGAGTCAGGTTCTCCAAAACTTTCCCAAGGGACTGCATATGCAAATGAGTCACCTAACCTCAGCTACTTCATGTCACTTTCCAGTTCTTTGCACCTGGAAATCAGGGCTCTAAATTCTCAATGATGCAAAGATGGAGAATATCCTTGGGGAGCCTCAAGAAAAGTCTTGTGGCATGGCAAGTCCTACTGACCTTCAGCAGAATTAAAATCACACCCAAATCAATCACCACTAACAGTGTGTGTAACATCACAGAGAAGTTTACACAAAGAAGACTGAGGAGACGGCTGTCCCTAGCAGGTCAAGAGAGACACTGTGTAGTCACCTCTTCACTTGCTCTGCTTTCCTCACTCTTCTCTCTGGATGACCCTCTTTGGCCTATTTCCCCTTTCCATGTCTCTAGAGAGCAGGGTCATATAGAAAAGAGAATGAAGCGCAAGTGTTTTAGTAATGATGAGAGAAGTTTGGTGAGCCGAGAGGTTAAAAAATTAGGTAAGATTTTTAAAAAAATTATTTGTGAATTTTAGTTACCTTAGAGTTACTACATGTGAATATGATGTAATAAACAGGTCTAAATTTCAGGACTGGATTTGATTGGTCCATGTTTTTAAGGGTACAGTTTTTAAAAGGCAAATGGAGTATGTGGGCAAAGACAGTATTTACAACACGTATTCCTGTAGCACTAACATAAACTTACAAAAATAAGTAGCAGTGCTCTGATAGCATAGTGCCTAAGGCACTTGACTGCTCACCAGAAGGCTGGCGGTTCAAACCCACCAGCCACTCCTCGGAAGGAAGGTTGGGCTATCCTACTTCTGTAGTGATACCGCCTCGGAAACCCAAGGAGGGGTCGCTATGAGTTGGGGCTGACTTGACGCCACTTAACAACAACAACATCAACAAGTGTTGAAAAAGTTAAAATGTTAAGTGCCTCATTGCTCTTGCACTTGTTTTGATGAGCAGATTCTAACTTTTCCAGTATTCTCAACTGTCTGTGACTCATTTTATTTGTCCAGTGGTAAATATTCAACCAGGGAAACGCTTGTACTTGACTCATGTCCTGTAACTTCTACAGATAATGGAGCTGATACAATGCAGACATTTTGCTTTGACCAAGAGACATTAAATGAAACAATGTGAAATGCTTGTTAACCTGACCATTATTTGGCCTTGTGTTTTGCAAAGCAGATGATACTGGCCAACCCTCTCTCCCTTCCCTTTTTAACAGCATAATTGAAAGTTTTTCTTGGATAAAGCTCAAAATGTATTCAAGTCCTGGAATGTTGTGGGCAAAAGGTTTTGTACTAATAGTTCCTTAAGAATGCTTGAAGGCGTATTAAAGGTGCAATGCAAACGTTTGGGGTCCAACAGGTAAAAAATTTAGCAATGCCGATTTGTATTTAGGTGAACATATGTTTCGCATTGTAACTCTTCCTGGTTTGTCAAAAAGAGCTTCACAATTTCTTAATATTGCCCTCAGATGATAAACAAGTTACATTTGCTCAAATGAGTTTAAAATGAACCTTTTGTGTGTGTGTGTGTGAAGAGAGCTCAAGGATTCTAAAAATATAATATAAAAGGGCCCATTTAAAACTGAGCCATGTAGGTCTGTGCCAACTTAAACCCTTCTTTGGTCAAAGAAGAGGTAAATACTTCTTTTATATTTTTATAAAAATATGAAGGCAAAAAACAGAAAAATAGACAACAATGTCATAACCCACTGAGGTGTATGTATAGGTATTTCTCAGAACAATAAACTGAAATATACCTTCCGGAAAAGTAGCTCGGTAGTCTACTGATTCATTTGAAACCATTTCTGTAGTTGGGCTTACACTTCGGGCACTTACAAGCCTATCCAAATGAGGAGTGTGTACTCTTGCATCATAGCGAACTAATTCACTGCCCAGATCTTAAAACAGAGAGAAAGAAAGAGCTCGTTAAAGACTTGGCTATCATGGGTCTCAGCAGACCTTGACCCAGGGTCAAGGCCTCACGGTTTTATGCACCACATGTCAGAAAGCACACACACATCTCCAACAGTGTTACACTTCAGTGACCACACTCTTCAGGTAACTTTTTAAAATAAGCAATAAGAAGATAAAAATGCACCTTTAATTTGCTTTCTCTTTTTCAGCCACAGGAAAAGCCCGAGTAATGATAAGAGTATTATCGATATGGAGACAACACCAACAATCAATCCTGTGAAATTCTGATCTGGTTGAACTATTACTTTTCCAAGGACAGTTGAAGAAACTGCTTGCTTCCACTACAAATGGCAAATAATGAAAGGTCAGAATTCAGCCATGACAGTTAGTTACAAAATAAAACACAGAGGCTTAGTCACGTTCTCTTGGTGCCAAAACATACTACCTGGTTATTAGCCTTCAAGAAGCAGCATAACTTCCTTCAGAATAATAAGAAACTCTTCAACTGGGCTTCAGTGTTCCATTAGTTAACCTACTGCCATCAAGTCAATTTTGACTCATAGGAACCCTATAGGACAGAGTAGAACTGCCCATAGGAATTCCAAGGCTGTAAATCTGTACGGAGGCAGACTGCTTCATCTTTTTCCTGCAGGGTGGCTTGTGGATTTGCAATGCCGACCTTTTGGTTAGCAGCCTAATGCTTTAACCACTGCACCACCAGAGTTCCTTGTTCCAATAATTAGTGGGTACTAAATCCAAAAGTACTTTGGTTTTGTCTATGGTATTGTATCATACCTAGTCATTTGGATTAATAATTAGACCTTAGGTCCTCGGGAGGTGCAAATGGTTAACATGCTCAGCTGTTAACCAAAAGGCTGTAGGTTCAAGTCCACCCAAAGGTGCCTTGAAAGAAAGGTCTGGCAATCTACTTTGGAAAAATCAGCCAGCCATTGAAAACCTTGTGGACCACAGTTTCACTCTGACACACATGGGGCTGCCATGAGTCAGGATCTACTTGACAGCAAGTGGTTATAGGGGTAAAAGATAAGTAACAGTTCCCAGTCTCGATCTGGAGTATAAAAGGAGAAACAGACCCATAAGTAACTGGTTACAATACAATGTGATATATGTCATAGAAACATGAGCAAACAGTAAAAAAGAGAGTCAACGTTAATTCTGTCCTGGGGTATGTGTGGGAGGACAGAGACTTCCCATAGCCAATAAGTAATAATACTATTATGGGATAAAAAGGTCTCAGAATATTTTACTTCCATTTTGATACCTAGAAGAAATCTTTGGGGTCCCTTTCCCCAGAGAACAACATTTTATAACTTTTAGGATTTATGGTTCTCCTGAAGTCCAAGATGCAGTCTTTGATTTTCTAATTGTTTTTGCACTTTCCACTTCTTAAGTTTCTAGAAGGCTTCAGGAGCCCTTTAAAAATCATGGTTGTCATTGACTCAATTCTGATTCATGGAAACCCCACTTGCTCCAGAACATTACTGTTCCAAAGGGTTCTCTTGGCTGTAATCTTCACGGAAGCTGTTCACCGAGCCTTTCTTCTGTGAACTACAGGGTGGGCTCAGATCATCAACCTTTAGGTTAGCAGCCAATCATAAGCCACCTACACCACCTGGGCTCTATTTCAGTCATTCCAGCTCTAGGTTATCTGGTTGAACTGTCTATGCTGAAGAAGTTACTATATAATAGTTTAATTCTTACTGAATTTGGCCAGTGCACGCATATTATATTACTTATGAGGTTCCATGCATTTGTGATCACTGTGGAGCTCTGGTGGTGTAGTGCCTAAGGCATTTGACTGCTAATCAGAAGGCTGGCAGTTCAAACCCACCAGCCACTCTGCTGAAGGAAGACTGAGCAATCTGCCTCCATAAAGATTTACTGCCTGAAGTTGCTATGAGTGGGAATCAACTAGATGGCAGTGTTTGAGTTTGGGAGCTCTGGTGGCATAATGCCTAAGGCATTTGACTGCTAACCAGAAGACTGGCGGTTCAAACCCACCAGCCACTCCTCAGAAGGAAGGTTGGGCAATCTACTTCCATAGTGATATCGCCTTGGAAACCCAAGGAGGAATCAGTATGAGTCGCATCTGACTCGATAGCAGTGAGTTTTGTTTGGTTTGGTGGAGGACAGAAGTACACTGGTTTTGGCCTTCTAGGGGAGGGGCACTCTTAGATTTGTCCTTATCTCTCTTGAGAATTATGGCAAATTTTAGCTGGAGGGAAGCATGATGGAGAGAAGGTGTGGTTGGAGCAACTTTTGAGATCTACCCTCTGGTGTTTTTTTTTTTTTTTTAAAAAAACAAAAACAAATCCACCACCAGAATTTTCTTTTGAGGTACCTTAGGGTGGACTCCAACCACATATCTTTGGTTTGCAGCTGAGTGTGTTAACTGTCTGCACCACCCAGGGGTCCTAGGGAAGGAGCTAGAATGACTATTCTAGCTAGTTACAGTATCACTATTTCTAAAATTACAACTAGAAATGGAGGCTGAGTTGATAAGCCAAAGCAACACACAAATGAGCTTTAATGACTTATTTTGAGCCTGCGAGTGACATAATCACACTGGTATTCTTATTTACATCATGAGAGAAATACAGGAATCCCACCTCTATATTTAGCTCGCTGTTCAATTTCAGCAAGTCATTGGGCACTGTACATAAAACGGCTTCAGGTTGTGAGTGTATATTCTCACAGCTCTTATTTCCAACTTTTAACACTTCACCTTTAACTGCTTCAGGGTCAATATCATTTCCCTGGATGAAGAAGAAGAAGAAGAAGAAGAAGAAGAAGAAGAAAGGTGGTTAACACTTCACAGTTTTGTGGGAATGCTAACAACTGTACAACTGTGAAGGGATATAAATACATGGCAAACGCTGTTGTTGTTAGGTGCCGCTGAATCTGTTCCAACTCATAGCGACCCCCTGTCAACAAATGAAACACTGCCTGGTCTTGCGCCATCCTCACAACTGTTGTTGTGCTTGAGCCCATTGTTGCAGCTATTGCGTCAGTCCATCTTGTTGAGGGCCTTCCCCTTTTTCGCCGACCCTCTACTTTACCAAGCATGATGTCCTTCTCCAGGGACTGGCCCCTTCTGACAACATGACCAACGTCTGAGAGATGAGGTCTCACCATCCTCTCTTCTGAGAAGGATTTTGGCTGCAGTTCTGCCAAGATGGCTTTGTTCATTCTCCTGGCAGAGCCCATGCATGTTCAATATCCTTCACAACGCAGTTTAAATGCATCAGTTCTGCAGTCTTCCTTACTGTCCAGCTTTAGCACGCATATGAGGTGACTGAAAATATCATGGCTTGGGTTGGGCACACCTTAGTCCTCAAGGTGACGTCTTTGCTTTTTAAAACTTTAAAGCAGCCTTTCGCAGCAATGTGCCCAATGCAATGCATTGACTTCTTGACTGATCTTTCCACTGGCATTGATTGTGGACCCTTAACTTCAGTATTTTCTCCATTTATCATGATGTTGCTCATTGGTCCAGTTGTGAGGACTTTGGTTTTCTTTATGTTGAGATATAATCCATACTGAAGGCTGTACTCTTTTTATTTGTCAAGGCACATGGTTTTTGATACTAATTTTCATGGGAATTTGGATGGCTGGAGGGAAGCACGTTCCTTTCAAAGCTCTAATTAGTCAGGAATCACAGCATATAACTTTCTCACCAAATTGGATCTTAAAGCACAGGAAAGAGATTCTTTTTTTCATTACCTTATAGGTAAATGACATCTTGCCCAAGTCCCATGAGTCTGAAACATAATCACTTCATTACTGTCTTCAGATGCTATTGATGGTTGGCAAAACTCAGCAGTTTAGAGATGCTGTCCTTGCACTCTCTGACGCTTGTGTTAGCTGCCTTTGAGTTGGCCCCTGACTCATGGTGACCCCAGGCACAACAGAATGAAATGCTGCCTGGCCCTGTGCACCCCCATAATTGGTAGCAGCAAGTCAGACCTTTGTGATGCACAGGGTTCTCCCTGGCTGACTTTCAGAAGTAGATCACCAGGACTTTCTTCCTAGTCTGTGTTAGTCTGGAAGCACCACTGAAACTTGTTCAGCACCATAACAACATGCAAAGCTCACTGACAGATGGGTGGTGGCTATGGTTGAGATGCATTGTCCAGAGGTTGAAGCTAGGTCTTCCACATCCACCAAAAACCAAACTCACTGCCGTCAAGTCGGACCCCACTCATAACAACCCCTCCTTGGGTTTCTGAGGTGGTATCACTACGGAAGTAGAATGCCCAATGTTCCTTCTGAGGAGTGGCTTGTGGGTTTGAACCTCCAGCCTTCTGGTTAGCAGTCACGTGCCTTAGGCACTACACCACCAGAGCTCCCGGTCTCCCCCAAGGAAGTCTAGAATTCTACCAATGGACCACCAATGCCCCACATGGCCTAATACTAACATCTGTTTATTGCAGTGATTCTCAACCTTAGTTTTACTTTAAAAAAAAAAAAAAAGCACTGATGTCTAGGTCTGACCTCCAAAGAATCTGACTTAATTGGTCCAAAGATGGTAATATATAGCCAAGATGAGAACCACAGCAGAGGGCCGATCTGAGCCCCTATGTGAATACTTCCCTTTCCTGTTCGAGTTGGGCAGTATGTGTTCATCCATGCATAAGTGAATCACACTTTGGTCCTATGTATAAATGAGTTCATTTCTGAAGAAATTCCTAGAAGATACCATATGATCCTCATTATTGACTTGAAAGCATGATTACAGTCTTTTGGATAATTATATAGTTGTATGAGGATTTTTGAAAAATTACTGTTTGACCTATTTTTGAAAAATTATTCAATTTGACATATTTTTGAAAAATTATTCAACTCAACGTATCTGGTTAACTGAAGTTCCCATTAGGCATTTTGAAAACATCAATGTTTTTCTGACAAAACTAATGATTAGTTTTGGGAAAGAAGTACACAGGTACAATTTCTCAAAGCAGCCCGAATGAGCACAGTTTAAACAGGCCATTACTTTGAGGAGAGATATATCAACACATGTTATTATTTTTCATATTGACAAAGCACAACCAGCAATAACTATAATGCTGCTACTTTGTTTTGTATGTGCAAAGTGCTTTTACATAATATGAATGCCAATAGATTGGTCGGTCAGATGTTATTCTGGGCAAAGAAGTAGGAAGAAAATGCTTCTTTATAACGTGAAGCTGCAGTTTAAGAGAAAATGGACGTGGACAAATCCTTTCCTTATGATATTTCTAGAGGCTACATGTGCCCTCCACTGAACCAGGTCAGCCACATGGGGCAATTCAACGTAGAAGCACATAAATCTCATAGGTCACTTTGGGGCTTCAGATGACAACTTGTTGGTTGGGTCTGAGAAGGGCTAAGGCATTCACTCACATATTGGAGGGAATTCAGGGAATGACAACAAAAGAGATTAAAGAGCTGGAGGGCTTGATTTATGAGGGAAGGACAAAGATGGGTCTTGCTTGCTTAGATAATAACTACAGCTGGGGGAAGGGATGAACGTGCTGCATTTATGTTTCCGACATTCATTCTTTTAGGCTCAGAATCTCCTTGGATGCTGTATAAAGGTTTCTCTGGAATAAAAAAACAGGTCACACAACCTGAAAAATGGAATCCCTTTCATTACGTGTCTACCAAGGAACACATGATAAGCAGAGACTTACATAGTAAAGCCTGTGATCGCCAGAATCTGTGTAAAGAGGAAACCTGCCAGAGAAGGAAAAATCAAAAGTTTTTCACTAGTGATAGAAAAGTGGTAAGATTGCACCCTGTGAAAGGTGGAATTAAGTGAGACCCGGAAAAACAAGCCAGTTCCACTGAATTCTGACTCTCATAGGTTTCACTGTATAAGAAATTGCTATCTGCTTTTTGTGTGTTATTGTTTTAAAAGCCTAAAATAACGAAGAAGTGGAAAACTCTAAGATATTATAAAAGTGATACTGGCAGCTCACTACTATAAACAGAGAGGCCCGAGTCAGGAGGAGTTAAAAACAGGGACAGGCTACTTTGTTTTCATTTCAAATAAATCTAGCTTATTGAACTGTGAAAAAACATACACAGTTAGCACTTAATTATTTAAAGAGAAGAACACATTTATAAAATTTTCTCAGTTCTTCAGTCTTTACAATGGTATATTTGGATTTTCAAATAAAGCAAAAGAGGGAATTTTCCAATTTTTAATTCTCTCTGTACCAACAGCAATTCAGAGTTATAACCATCTCATTTTATCCTGTAGACACTCCCTGAGGTAGCTATTGTTGTTATTCCTGCTGTACACAAGAAGAGCTACAGATAGGTGACAAGACGTGCCCAAGGTCATAGTGAAAATCAAATTCCATTTGATCCAAAATCTATCATCTACTGTCTGTCAGACCTATGAGCCCTAGTGGCACAGTGGTTAAGCTCTTGGCTGCTAACTGAAAGGTTGGTGGTTAGAACCCAGCAGCCACTCCTCAGGAGAAAGGTGGCAGTCTGCTTTTGTGTGATCTACAGCCTCAGGAAATCCTATGGAGCAGTTCGATCATGTCCTATAAGGTTGCTATGCTATGAGTCAGAACTGACTCTGTGGCAATGGTTGGTTTTGTTTTTCCGACACAGTTCTAGTCACCAGGAATATAATGATGAATAATAACTTCTTTCTCAGTGTACTGTTAAAGTGGATACACTTCTCAAGTGAAAACCACTCCCAAGACCATATCAGGGTATTCCCTGTACCTTTCCTCTCCAGCTCTGGCCAAGTGTGACATAACGTTTTACTTGGGACCCAGGGCTGGGGCTCATGTCTTAGATGTGGCTATAACCAACCAACCCCACAAAAACCCACTGCCATCAAGTTGATTCTGACTCCTAGTGACCCCTGTTGGGTTTCTAAGGAGGTAAATCTTTACAGAAGTAGAATGCACCATCTTCCTTCTGTGGGGCAGCTGGTAGGTTTGAACCTCCAAACTTATAATTAGCAGTCAATGTGGGTCGAAGTGGGCAGGATTTGAAAAATAGCATTATGGTACAAAGAGTTCTGAAAGTTCTCATACATCCAGGTGGCCATAAGGCTGAGACTGGGAAAGTCAGTGAGGGGCAGGTCGGTAGCAGGGCCCAGTCAAGCAAGGGTCCAAAGCACAGGGGGCAGAGAAGCAGACAATCAGTGAGGCAGTGGTGGTGGTAATTTATACTTCATTCCCCACCAAACAAACCCACAGCTGCTGTCAATTCTGACTCACAGGGACCCTGCAGGACAGAGTAGAACTGCCCCACAGGGTTTCCAAGGCTGTAAATTCTTACGGGAACAGACTGCCACATCTTTTTCCCATGGAGTGGCTGGTGGGTTTGTATGGCCAATCTTTCAGTTAGCAGTAGAGTGCTTAACCACTGTGCTAGCAGGGCTCCATATTTCATCCAGAGGCTATGAATTCTTCAGATCAGGAAATAGGTCAAAGAACCTTCATGGAAGGTTCCACAACTGAGTTCCACAGGACAACAATAGACATTTGGGAAAAATGTTCCCTGGTCACTTGAAAAAAGTTGGTGACTGAAAATTACTCTGGTTTCTTCACTGGCCACTTGGGGCCTTTACTATTGTTGTTCTTAGTTGCCAGTGAGGTGGCTCTAACTCCCGGCAACCTTATGTGCAACAGGAGAAGATGCTGCCTGGTCCTGCACCTCCTCATCATCACAGGTATATAGGAAGACTCTGTGGCGACGACTATGCCCATCCATCTCACTGAGGGTCTCTCTCATTTTTTGGGCCCTGTACTTAGCCAAAAATGATGCCCTTTTCTAGCAATTGACCTTTCCTGAAGCCGTGTTCAAAGTAAGTGAGTTGAAGTCTTGCCATCTCGCTTCCAAGGGACACATTGTGGTTGTATTTCTTCTAAAACGAATTTGTTTGTTCTTCTGGCAGTCCATGGTATATTCAATATTTTTCAACACTACAGTTCAAACATATCAAATCTTCTTCTGTCTTCCTTTATAACTGTCTGGTTTTCACATGCTTATGAGGCAACTGAAAAAGGCCATGGATTGGGTCAAGCACATCTTAGTTATCATCCTTCACTTTCATCCTATCTGCTGTTAGAATGGCCTCATGGTGGTTGGGGTGGGGCTTGGGCCTATGGTTGCAGGTAACTTTGTCAGAGGGGAGGAAGACAACCTCTGGGCAGTAGGTGGACCTGGTTGGCTCAGGGGCCTCTGGGTCAGAACAAAGCTACCTCGACCCGAGTTCATGAATCTTTGTTCTTGAGTTTGTAGTGTCAGCGCTTGAGTCCCTGCTCTTGGCATTGGCTAATCTCTGCCTCTTCTTCCTGTCTAGCCGACTTCTCCAGATAGGACTTTGCTCCAGAATAAAATAGACTCCCAGGCCAGTGTTTCTAACCAACCTTAGCCCAGCCTGAGTTCCAGCATCACATACTGTATTTTTCTACTTTCCATAAAATATGCCCATGCATCAAAAGGAAAATAAAATAGTGGGGAAATAATAAATAGTAGTTTCTTTAAACAGAATCAACATTTAGATATCTGTAAAAAGTTTAGTAATCTTTCATTTAAAAAATGGGGTGTGTGTGTCTGTGTGTGTGTGTGTGTGTGCGCATAACTATGTATTCTATGACAGAAAAGCTTCTCTATTGTGAAAGCTATTTTGGTACACATTAAATGAAAGTTAATATGAGAAGCAGTGTGATTTAGTGGAAAGAAGACCAAATTTGGAATCAAGACACTTGGGTGTGAGCCCTAGCACTGCTGTTTGCTCTCTGGTGACCCAAGACAAATGACCTAATCTCTCTAAACTTCCGTTTACTTATTTATAAATGGGGATAATCACCACTGACCTCTCAACTTCATAGGTCCACATGAGACTCAAATAAAATATCACATGTCAAAGTACTGTGTTAAATGTAAAATTCCATACAAATATGAGCTGTTGTTGCTAGACACACTGTACCCTAACATATACTCCCAAAGAGACATCTACTTCTGATGATCACTGTCTACAACTGGTGCTGGCTGCCTTGAAGCCTGGGCCATAAACTACCTCCTCTATCAATGGGGTTTCTGATTCATTCTGAGGAGTGACTGATCCTTGGTCCTTATTGTATTCTCTTGACCCAAAGTTGGCTGACCCTTTAGGCCATGGTAAAGTCACGAGGCCAACTACTGACTGAAGCTGGGACCTCCAATGCCTGCAATTTCTCTGGAGCCAAGGAATTCCTGCATGCATGGCTGCTTGAGGAGCGTGAACTTTTTCCTGGCATTGAAGAGTACATCTCAGCCCAAATACACGGTTCTGTCCATAGCACATTCATTGATGGAACACAAACATACTTCATAGGATGTTTTGAATGGTAACTGAACAAGCTCAGCATGAAATAAAATGGTAGCCTTTCTTTGGATGAAAACAGTCCACGGCTTGTCCAGAAGAGCCCTTCTCTTTTTATTTCTCATATTTTGCTGTCCTTTGTTTCTGCCTAAGAGAGGCAGAGGTTTTAATCTGATCAAATTTAGACAATGATAGAGGGTTAAATTGCTGTCATAATATTCTCCTACCCCTTAGATGTCCTCTAATACATAAGGAAAAATGGAGTATGGGAAATGATTGAATCATAGCATCAAAGTCAAATCCCTCAACCATTTCCACCTCCACCAGATTACTACTCTATGACATGACAGGTGCCATACACTTGTTAGAGAAAAGAGTCATTCTGTATAGGACGAGAGAACAAAGTGTTTTGTGTGCATACCCAGACATCCCTTGGAGCATGCTGGCAAAAGCATTGAGAGACTAAGGATGATGTCAAATCATGTTTTTTTTTTGGTCTAACAATTTTGTAGGACACTGAATAATGGGTATTTAACTTACAGAAAATTTCTTTGCTATATAAGCCTATGCTTGGAAGGGTAGATAAAGAACCATTTATCGCTAATCCCTCCATCACTGATACAGGAACAAAAAAATAGAGGTTTTCTGGGCAAAAATATATTTGCACATAGACCGTTGTTTTCATCAAGAAAAACCAAATGGAATCTTTCAAACGTCAAACACAGTAATTGTTTAAAGCAAAAGGTCACACTAGATTAGTTTTATTGAAAAAGAAAAAAAGAAATGATAAAAGCTCTTTCTCTTTCTAAAACTAATTAAAGAAGCAGATGAAAGAACTTTGCTGCAGTAAACACGTTGTTCATTGAAGCAGGCTTCCATTTAATTTCATGCTGGGCTTGCTTAATTATTGTACAAAACACAACTGTGAGGTTAGTAAACTTGTCATGTGAATGGGTGCACGGGTTGAGCTACAGATAAAATTTTGTTGAAAAAGCAGAAAAATTTCAGTAGAAATGTATCTTTACCTAGGTGTAGATGACAACTGGAACCAACAGCCACCTAAATAAAGACTATGTTGTTGCTTTGTGTTTGTTCATATTTGTTTGCCTAAAACTGTGTCTGTTAAGTTTGAGTGCTGTGAGTGTTGAAGGGTAAATATTTTGTTGTTTCTAGTAGACAGATAACTAAAGTCTTGATGATTTTGCCTGTTTTATTATTAACTGAAGTAAAAATGACTGTAGCCACACAGGAGAGCTGTATTCTAGTCTTGACTCGGCCACTATTTCATCACTTGTTCAACCATTAACATCTCTGGCTTTAGTGTTCATTATTTACCACAGGCAGGGGTTAGAAACAATGATGTGTTAGTCTTGGGTTAAATTACATTTAGAAGTTAATATATTCTTCAGGTGGTGGATATCCAGTTCCATTTATCAATCAGCTTCATGATGAACACACCAGATACAAAATTCCAAGTTTTACAAGGATGTACAGAACTACAACTGGTGTATTTACTTTCACGACTCTTACCTTTTTGTAGTGAGCACATTGAGGTGTCCCGGAAATTCATAACATCTGCAGGATAATCCAGTCACTGGGAACCTATTTAGTGGATATGTGCTCCACATTTGCTACTTTTTAATATATATACAAGAGAAGGTTTTTAAATGCTTCATTAAAAAGCAATCCATGATAGTACTTATCTTTCAGTCTTATGCCAAAAAAGATTTGTCTCTCAGAGCTGAGATATTTGCTGATGGAGTATAAGTTATAATGACAAAATACAACAAGTCTATTCATATAGCTGAAAAGTCAATTAAGTTCAAGCTGATGATTTAAGAGAAGATTTAAACATTTCTTACCTTAATTTCCAGTACATTTTCATTGCCCATTGAGATCATCACTGGCTTTTCAAAAGGCTTAAACACAGGATTATGTACATAAATGAGATCAAAGTAATTGGAATGGATCCCATCTAACATGAAAAAAGCTTTGGTTTTCAGGGGGAGATGCAGATTCAGCTGTTGTAATGAAGGAGTTGTACAGCAGATTATCTCTGAGTTAGAGCGATGTTGACATGCCTGCAGTAAGACAATTACACACTGTAAACAGACTACAGTTTGACATCAATAGCAACTTTAACAGTTCACAATTTCAGAGAGTCAATTGAAAATATTTAATTTTTGAAACAAAATTTGCATCTAACTTCCTAATTTCTGGGAACATGACAGATGCTAAATTATGCAAACAACCCAGTCTTCAAAGGAGCACAGAGCTTCACTTGCCCAGAGTAAGCCACGTTGATCTCTCTGAAGCTGGCCTTCCCTCAGTCATTTCATTCTCCTTAGGAAGCCCTTGGTTCACATCTAGCTTAAAACCAAGCGATGAAAACTGGGGCAAAGCCTTTCCTCAGGAACTTATAACATCATACAAAATATGGGGTACTTCCTGGTAAAAGTGCTTTGTAAACTGCCAAGCCCCACACAGTTAATGTTAAAATTAACTCTGTAGCTAGGTAATCTTATTAGTATGTTTTAAGCTATTGATTACTGAGTGTCAGGTTTTGGGAAAAATGCATTACAAGGTTGGTTTCATTTGATTCCCAGGATAGTCCTATGAAGTAGGTTCTATAAGTACTCACATTTTACAGACGGAGAAACTGAGCTCCCAAGCTTTTGTAATTACACCAGGTCACAGAGCTGGGCACCTAAAACGTAGGTCATCTGACCCCAAAACTCATTGTCTTAACACCCAGGCTATGCTGCTTCTTGTTCTCTGTGTATTTATTGGATATTAGTAAGTCTTCTTCTATGTTCTCTATTTCACAAAGTCTGTACTATTCTTATTTCATGTTCCTTCATCTTGCAGTTCAAATATTCTCCTCTGGAATTCTGATTTATGGAATTTTGGAAAATGTGATTTCCTCCTGATTGTGCTGGGACTCTACTAGCAACACAAAGCGGTGCCTGTAAGGTTAAATGCCTGAGCCCCCCACCCCCCGTCAAGGAAAAGCCAAACAAGCAACAGCATCCCTTTGATTTCCTTTCCTTTGACCAGTATAGCTGCAGATAAAACAATTACTTATGCCCACAATAGAAAAAGCACTCAGGATATACATAAAAAGCACAGACATGAAACTTGGTATCTGATAATTAAAAAAATATATATCCTACCTACTTTAATAAATAAATGTGAACAGATAAAGAAAACTGATGCATAGATTTAATATGAATAATTTAGTTTTACACCAAATTAATATTTTAACAGTAAAAGCTATTTATTCCTACCACTTTGAATAATGGAGACATACAATTTAATTAATATCACACTAATTCTCTGTAAAACAATAAGAAATTTGAAAACTACCCAATAAATGGATGATTGTGGGACATAAACTATATTAATACATTAATATACGTTTTGTGAAGCATGTTATTGCTGGCTTTATTTTAGAAGGGTAGAGTTTATTAGACTTAGAGCTATTTGGCTAGATCTGTATCTCTCTAAACCTGAATCAGACCTGACTGAGCATTTTTATGTGTTAAATAATGAATGGGTTCGATTCATCATGGTTAGTCCCAAACTCTGTAAGCAGCAGAGAACATGGAAGGACCACATGTCTCTCTATGAAGACGTTTTCACAAATGGTAGTAAAGCAGACCCACTGAATTTTTCACTCCTGTCGCATTCTAATGCATAGTTCCATTGTACTAATGCATGTCTGGCTAAAAGAACAGAGTTTCTATTTCCAGAGATGTAAACAGGTAAGATTTTTGTCTTTTTGTATTGTTTGAATCCTCTTTGGGTATGCAGCTCTAAGTCTGACACCTAGTAGGTTTTTACTAAATATCTGATAATGAATGAATGAAGCCAAGAGGAGCTCCATGTGTCTTCATAATGCTGACAAGGAGAAGGAAGGAAATTGAGTCATTATTTTAAAATTGTAGGTTTGGTACTATTAGAGACACTAATACTTTCTCGGATTTCTATGTTAAAAGATCACATGCCAACACTAAGGAGCGTTACTATAATTTCTATTTGGTTAATGAAAACTGTTAGGCTCGGTTGGGGAGCACTGACATCCTTTAAATTAATAGCAGCGGTATTCTAACTTTGTTTGTGGCTGTGTGTGTTGGTTGCTTTCAAAGCCTTTTACTTCAGATGATGACTCCCTGGAGAAGAATCTCTCAGGAATATGATAAAAATCTAATAAGACTCTTTAGAGGTGATGCAATGTGGCTGAATGAGAAGGTCAAGAAAAATCTCATTTGAGATGCCCTTATTGTTTGGTGATTTGGCTTGACATTTTTAGCACAAAACTGGTTTTTGTAATTAGAGAACACTGTGGCTTTAGTATTCAAGAAATACTGGATGGGACTCTAAGAGAAAGTGTTGTAATTCAATCTATCACCTGCCCAAGGAAGACCCTGCTTGAGAGGCAGTACTTTGAATTTTCATTCTAAGTTGAGTGGACAAGTTCAGCTTGAACATGGTATTTTACATTAGGGATAAATATCAACAAAAAGTTTGTAAATAACCCCAATCTTTCTAAGGTCTGAACTGAAATGAGTGTTATAATGTGACCTATGTAAATTTTTACACCACAAAATGGGTCAGTCACTTTTAGGGAAGCACTCAAGTTTAATTTTGATGAAATTAAAATACTACTAGCCTTGCAAATAAGAAAAGGTGAAGAAACATCAAATAATATACTCATTCTAGGACACAGAATAATTATTCTAATGCTCTTCATTGTTACTTGGTCACAGAGGAACAAGAAGAATGGTAAAAAGAGGAACTGTAAGGAGCACTGCATGCTTGCCTTGTAGAAAGACAAGGCTATTGCTCCAAGACTAGAGGCTTTAGCCAAGGGTTTTATTGGAGCAAAAGGGCTGGTGTTCTATGATGCATTAAGAATGGGGAGAGGGCAATGACGTGACTCCCTTTTGTACTGTCTTTAAAATGGACTCACGTTGGTCATCATCATTTTATGCAGTTTGTGTAAATACACACATACATGCACACATGTGTACACATATACACATACACAAAGTTCCTGGGTGGTGCACACAGTTAGGCACTTGGCTCCTAGTCAAAAGACTGGCGTGCAAATCCACCCAGAGGTGGCTCCAAAGAAAGGACTGGCAATCTACTTCTGAAAGATCACTGTGATTGAAAACCTACGGAGTGCAGTTCTGCTCTGGAACACCCAATGTCGGCATGAGTCAGAATTGACTCAACAGCTACTGGTTCGGTGCATACATCTTTTGTTGTTGCATGAAAAATATTATTTGATTTAATTAAGTATAAGGAAGGTAACTGGAAAACATTAGAGGAAAACTGAAATGTCCTATGTGCCCTGAAAGCCAGGTGTAGAGGCAGAGGTATAGAGCTTTGAACATACCCATCACTCAAAGGACTTACCACTGTAAAGTTCCTTCCTGCTTCCTGGATGTTTATTACCATCCTTGGGACACTAACTGAATTCAGGTTTTTTCCAACACCTGTTATTGTACTTCCACCACTGGCAAAAAAAAAAAAAAAAAAATAGAAAAATGGCAGTATTGAGAGGTTCCTTCCTTACCAAGTATTTTAAGAAAGAAGTTCAATTTAATCACATGTAGTGATTATAAGTTAGAGAGCGGCACAGCTAAAAATCAAATCAAGTTCAATGATAAGTCTTCTTTGGAACCAAATTATAGTAACTTGAAAATATTTAAAAAAATTCATAGCTCATAAGCTGCATAAATGCATCTATTTTCCTATTCACCACATATACAAAAGCATCATTTATTATATATTTCTCTCTCTGAAAGGAATACAAAGAAAAATGAGCTTGGCTATTGTTGCTACATTTATAGAATGAAAGGAAACAAGGCAGACTGAACTGGGTCCAATAAGATACTGATTCAAAGGGAGTCTGGCATAAGGAAAATCTGCATGTAAAGCAGGCAGGGAAAAATACACTGACAGGTGGGAAAAAGATCATTCTACTTCTAAGCACTAAGTTTAGTACAGGATCGACATGTATATAACATAATGCAAAAATATCACGTTGTCACATTAAACTGTTTTATTGGAATCCATTTAAAACATAATAGAGTAGGATAACATGCTCCTTGCCATGAGCTAGCCTTGATAAAGTCAAAGTGTACTAAGAAATCGAATGGAGTTTTCATTTCTGAATTGGAATGACAGCCTTCAAAAGAAATGCAGCAGCATCAAAGCCAGGCATGAAGCTACAATTCCTCTGGACTATTCTAGAGTGAAATCATTATATTCTTTATTTTCTTACACCCATCAGAAGCTTTTACTTACCTAATAAAAGATTTGGTTGGATGGATTTCATAGACAATAGGATCTTCCTGATAACTGAAGCCGTAGACCTCTCGGTTGGCTAAGTCAATTTTCAATTTGACAGGAAACTCAGTTGAAATGCTTTGGGCTGGGGTATAACATTCGAGAATGCTATCTGACACACTGAATGAAAAAATCAAGAAAATGGACCTTAGTTAGCTGTTAGAGATCAACATACTTCAGAATGCTATCCATAAATCAAAAGGATATGACTCAATGACTCTTCAGTGGGAATTTCCTGATGCCCTAGTCTAGAGAAAAACTCTTTTTAAGTGTAGGCGGTTTACATATGAATGGATCCCACACAGCCTTGTTGTAGACAAGCAATCCTTGACTTCAAGACATTAGTAATTTAAGCAAGTTTTAAAAGCATTTTTGGCCCTCAATTAATCCTAAAAAGCAGAAACAACTTCCCTCCAAACTCATATTCCTCTCTGCTTCTTCCCATCCAAATGGGTTTGACCTGCCAGCCTTCCAGTTATCAGTCAAATGCCTTAGGCACTACACCACCAGAGCTTCCAAAAATGCTTTAGTAATTGTAAATCATGATGGAAATGCTTATTTTCAGTAATTGCTAGTGACCAGAATCTCAAAGCTCATAGCATAGCTAGGATACTAAGGTATAATAATTAAGAAGGTAGATGGGAAGACAAAAGTTAAAAACTGGAATTAATGAACAATTGAGTAAAGGTAGAAAAATCAGTAAAGGGAGTAGGTAGATTTGGGAAGGAAAAAATTTTGTCATCAGAAGAGTAAATAATAATCATCTTCATTTTTCTCCACAAGAGAAGAACAGTCTTGGCTTGATTTGTTAGGTACAGATATTAATCCAACTTGACTGAAGCAAAAGAAAAGACATTTACAACACCTTTTTAAAGTACATGTTTTTCCACCAATTGAAATGTGTCTAGAATTCCCACTGTTCAGGTACTTTCCAGTTAAAGTAATCAAAGTGCCACCAGCCTTAGGACCATAATTTGGAGAAATACTTGTAATTATAGGATCCTGAATGAGAGATATAAAAAATAAAAAAAAGCAGCTTGTTAATTTATAACTTATTAAATAAACTAAGTAACAGTCATATATCCTGGTTCTTGAGAAAAGTAATGCTTAGACTTACCACATAGGAAAATGTACTATATTGTGCTATTCCTCGACCATTTGAAATACTGATAGACAGATTGAAAGGCTTATTTATTGCAGGACCAACTGTGCATTTCAAGCTGTAAAAAGCAAAGCATAGTATGTTACAAATCCAAGGCATTTATTTTCTGGCTTGGCTGTCTATATGAATGGACATTAAATTGTGAGCTAACTACTTTGAACATGAAGCTTGGTTTCATGGTAAGCATTAAGGTTGAAATTGTGTAATTTATTTCTGTGCTATTATGTCAAATTTTAAATAGACTGTACTAACAAAACAGGAAATATTAAACCTCATCAGTGCAGACTTCACCAATTGAAAAGTTCATGATAATATAAATTTAAGTGAACAAAATTGTAAGGGTAATGTATTGGTTACCTCTGGGCTACTCTAACAGAAAATATATCACAAATGGGACGGCCTTAACAAACAGGAGTTTATTCTTTTACAGTTTGGAGGCTTTAAGCCGGAGTTCAATGTGTGAGGCTTTAGGGGCTGGGTGGAAGGCCCTCAACCTTGGGCTTCAACTCTACCTCCTGTTCCCAGCTCACTGAAGCTGGAGGCTTTTCTTCACTCAGACAGCTACTGGCTGCTGAGGTTGACAAGCCCAAGGTTGACAAGTAAAAAGGCACAGTTTCGATGTTACCAAACCACATGGCAGGTTGCTGAACAACGACACAGCTACAAGCAAGGTTCAAATGTGCCATAAGATGGAGACCGTTCCCAAAGCTTCTCCTTATTTACAGGAAGCAGACCACGTCCCTAAGGCAGCTACTCAGCTGCTCACAGTAGATTTCACCATGGAGTTGATTACCAGTCTCATCATGGGGAATACTATATCCAGCTACCCAGCCACTCAACCAGGCCCAGCCAAGTTGACACACAAACTTAACTACCACATGTAATGTTTGGCATACTGAAGATAAAAAAAATGGCATTTTGGCAGCTTTTGGAACAATGGGATAATCATGGATTATCTAGAACTCTTCATTAAATATGACAACAGGTATCTTTCTACATTTCCCACATTTATTTAAATTACTTAAAAAAGTAATGAAATTGTGATGAATTTTCTGTAGAATTATTTTTGAATTAGTAATATTATTATAGTTGTGAAAAAATATAAATATAATTTGTTTTATTTAATGTATTTTTGAGAATGAATTATGTTCCACTGTTATAGGTCCTAATTCACACTGCAATGATTAAGGATTTTAGAGAACTTTCAAGAAAGATTTCTAGAGTGGCCTTTTCTTTTTGCTATTAAGCTAAACACACATGAAATTAATTGATATTTTCATCTGAGCAAAAGGAGGTTTAATAACCTTGGAATCGATTCTAGTAGATATAAAATGACCAATTGATAGAAAAGGTTCAATCATGAAGATATAACTATAAAACTTTAAGTATTGGTTGTTGTTACTACATGATAGTGAATAATTTCTGAACCCTCTGTTCATTATGAGATTCAGAAATTATTGAAGGTACATGCCGAATGTAGTCAAAAGTGCACAAGTCTTAGATCAGGAAAGTTGAATTGAAACCCCTGTTAAGCTCTTACTCTCAAGGTTACGTCCTTTGTAAAACAGGAATAGTATCACTACTTCCCATGACTCTGGTATGCATCTTATACATTATAACTCACTGCCGTCAAGTTGGATCCGACTCATAGCAAACCCTCCTTGGGTTTCTGAAGCAGTATCACTACAGAAGTAGATTGCCCAACCTTCCTTCTGAGGAGAGGCTGGTGGGTTTGAACGGCCAGCCTTCTGGTTAGCCGTCCAATGCCTTGTTGTTGTTGTTATGTGCTGTTGAGTCGGACCCCACTCATAGCGACCTCTCTTGAGTTTCTGGGGCAGTATCACTACGGAAGTAGATTGCCCCATCTTCCTTCTGAGGAGTGGCTGGTGGGTCAAATGCCTTAGGTATCAATAAATACTAACTGAATATAAATTTAAAATCAACTAAAAAACAAGTCTTAAACATGTAATTCATTTGCTTCATTGCATGTTCAAGGTTTAGAAGATGAACTCAGAGGAGAGTCCATATGGAGGGGATTCTAATTTTTATAGAAAAAGCTTTTGGAGACTCTTCATATTCAAAGAGTCTAAAGATGAGTGACCCCAGCTAAGATTCTTACCTATTTGTTGTGCTCTCACTCAAGGTCAAGGTGCAGCTCTCATTGCCAACAAGAACTCTTGTTTTCTTTAAATCAAATTTATTATTCCTCCTGAATCCAAAGTCCCAGCCACATACTGTCAGTGTTGTCCCTCCTTCAAGGGGTGCACTAGTTGGGAAAACCTACAAGGAGAACAGAGAACTTTTATTAAAAACCAAAAACTGTTACATAATCTTTCATATAAACAAATACATACTTTTAAATAACTGAAATTCTTTCATTCTCCCATTAACTAATAAAATCAAATTTCCATGAAAGGAAAACGGGTAACAAATTTCAGAGCCTCTGGAACAAACAGTAAACTACCTGACATGCGGATGAAACACGTTGTTCACAGAGGAGCTGAAGATGGGTCAAAGAGCAGATTCAGCCTGGTGGGAAAGAATAGCATTCCCGGGCCACTCTGAAGGGAATTATGTCTCCTAAGGACTTTTGGGGCCAGGTAGACACACTTTGGGCCCAAACTTTTACATGCTGTAACTAACTAACTAACATGCTATCTCTAACTCTTTCCTGGACCTCCAGATCAAACTCCCATCAAAACTCCTTCACGGGCCCCCACAAGCCAAGGGCCAGCATACCTCTGTGTGCCAGCTGAGTGTGAGCCACACTTCTGTTGCTATTGTATACCCAACCCAAGGGAGAAAAGTCAGAGCTAAAAACACTTCTTTCTGTATCCTGGTGCAGAGGTGCAGTCAGCAGCTACTATAATACCAAACCCAAATCTGCTGTTGGGTCGTATCCAACTCATGGCGACCCCTCCTTGGGTTTCCGAGGTGGTATCACTACAGAAGTAGATTGCCCGACCTTCCTCCTGAGGAGTGGCTGGTGGGTTTGAACCTCCAGCCTTCTGGTTAGCAGTCATATGCCTTAGGCACTATGCTACCAGAGCTCCTATAATACCAAATACATGGATGATATTGCTATTCATCCATTCATTCGTGCATTCTTTATAAAACACTTAGTATGTGCCAGGATGTCCCTGGGGAGTGCAAATGGTTAACATATCAACTGCTAAATGAAAGGACAGTGGTTTGAGTTCACCCAGAGGGGCCCTGAAAGAAAGGCCTGGCAATCTGAAAAAGCAGCCATTGAAAACCCTATGGAGCAGAGTTCTAGTTTGACACAGAGCTCTGGTAGCATAGTGCCTAAGGCACTTGACTGCTAACCAGGAGAGGCTGGCAGTTCAAACTCATCAGCCACTCCTCGGAAGGAAGGCTGGGCTATCTACTTCTGTGGTGATATTGCCTCGGAAACCCAAGGAGGGGTCACTATGAGTCGGGTCCGACTCAATGGCACATAACAACAATAACAGGGTCACTAGGACCTGAAGCCAGAACAGGCTCCATGGCAACTGGTGGCATGTGCCAGGCACTAAAAATCAATAAGTAAATCTATTTTTTAAACCTATGAATTCACATTTACTACTCATTTATGACTTTTCATTGTTTCCTTTCTTCTTCAACACATGCTTGTAGGTTAGCGTGACTCTGGTAGCGTACTGCCTAAGGCATCTGACTGCTAATCAGAAGGCTGGTGGTTCAAACACACCAGCCACTCCTTGGAAGGAAGATTGGGCAATCTAATTCCGTAGAGATACTGCTTCGGAAACTCAAGTAGGGGTTGCTGTGAGTCAACTCAACTTGATGGCAGTGAGTTTGGTTTCTGGTTTTGGTTAGTAGGCTCCTAGGTGGTGCAAATAGTTTCTGCTTGACTACTAACCTAGAGGATGGCAGTTTGAACTCAACCAGAAGCAGTGGAGAAGGCCCAGGGTCTGCTTTTGTAAAAAGCACAGCCAAGAAGCACGGAGCAGTTCTAGTCTATAATACATGAGGTCACCATGAGTTGGAACTGACTCACTGGCAATGGGCTTGGTAATCTGGGTTTAGGTGGTTAGTTGAAAGGCTTGGTCTTTAAAAAGTTATGTATATTTAATACATGCAATATAATATATTATTTCTATTGTTGTTGTTGTTGTTATGTGCTGTCGAGTCAGCCCTGACTCATAGCGACCCCTCCTTGGGTTTCCGAGGCAGTATCACTACGGAAGTAGGATTGCCCAACCTTCCTTCTGAGGAGTGGCTGGTGGGTTTGAACCGCCAGCCGTCTGGTTAGCAGGCAAGTGTCTTAGCCACTATGCTACCAGAGCTCCCTTATTTCTATTAGAAACAGATAAAAACAGAACTGGAGAGAAACCCAAATGTGGTATGTATTAAAGCAATTTTTCTAATTATCGCCCCTTGGTATTCTTTTACATCTTATTTCTAGGATTGATTTTTTTCCCCCTTTGTTCATTGTTAAATAAATAATAGGATCATTTTCTTATTGCAGGCTCAGTTTTGGTGTGGTAAAAGTAAAATCTGCATTTATTAATAAAATTTTGGCAAGTGAGATAAGACAGCATTAGGCTCTTATGAAGTTTATGACAACCGTTCTTAGGCTAAAACTATTAAACACAAAACAAATTTCCAAGTTAAAAATAAGCTTCTCTTCAACAACTTTGGGACAATTGAGAAAGGAAATGCTCTTCTGGGGGGACATATTGTAAATTGTGCTAAAAAGTACAATGGTGGGAAAACAGCACTGCTATAGACTCAACTCACAAACCAGTAAAGGTGTTTGCTAAAGCCCAGTTAGTGAAAGTCGCAAAGTGTTTGGAAGGGCTTTTAGCAAAACTCAAATGTGCAAACACTCCCGACTCTCCCAAGTAAATAATCGTAAACCAGTCTTCACTTAGCCTTGTTACCAAACCCCTTGAAAGTCTTAGCTTAATGCTTTTACGATAGCCATTTGACCCATAACATCCATTACACAGTTGGGCCTTTCATGAAAATTTACCTCGTCCATATCTAACCAAATGAGAACTGCTAGAAAAAAAAAATCCGTTTATTATTATATTAGAAAGCCAGTAGGAGAGAACGAGACACCCAACCCTCCCAGGACTCTGTTCAGCCTGCGGCCATCACATAGCTGCTGTTCCTTCTTCTAATGAGGAGGCGTTCCCATTGAAAACAGCTGCCCAAGGCTGAAGTGGGCCTGAACCACCGCCTAGATTTTTCTTTCTATAAATTGAAGTCTGTCGCTCTAGACCGATTACAGCTTTCTATGTAAGGCAAAGGACCAGATGATGCTTCTAAAGAAGACATTGAGCACTGTTCCTCCAGTGCTCTGGCAACAGAAAGGGGTATGAGAAAACCTCTGCAAACCCTCAAGATTCGAAAGGTTAGCCTTTCTCCTCTGGGATGAGATACTGGAGAGCAGCAGCTGAGCATTTCCCTGAGTTTATGGGGGTACTTGTCACCATCACAGCAGAAGAGGAAAGAAGGGGTGTGGCCTATGTACCCTTGGAGAGACCCAACGATCAACTGCCAAATTCTGAATTATTCTGAAGGGCAGAGGTACTCTGTGGGCAGGAAATGACTGTCCAGTATAAAGTCATGGAGGTTGGGTCTGGATAGGGGGGAAATAGCCACAAGAATAGCTATGGTACTTTCACAGGTGAAAGATCACCTTGCAGATTGACCCTCTGCAACAGTATTTGGAAGGATCATGTTTTCAAAACCTATCATGATAATACATTGGAAAAGAGCTGAAAATTAAAATTGACAATGGAGGCCACCTCCTTTCCTCTTTAGGGAAAAATGCATTGGTGACAGTATATGGCCTGTTCCCTCCTGACTCCCAAGAGATTGATGATGCTTGTTATCTGATCGAGGAGCTCTCGTGGTATAGCGCCTAAGGCATTTGACTGCTAACCAGAAGGCTGATGGTTCAAACCACCAGCCACCCTGCAGAAGGAAGACTGGGCAATCTACTTCTGTAGTGACACTGGCTGGGAAACCCAAGAAGGGGTCACTATGAGTCAGATCTGACTCCATGGCAGCAAGTTTTTTTGTTTTCCCTTAGCTGATTAATTAATATGCAATTTTATTATCTCGTTGGGATTAAATTCAATCCCACAAGGTGGGACAATTTTATCCCAGTAAATTCAGAATACATTGGAAAGTGCTCTTCCTTCTCTGAGGCATTTCTCATTGCTCTGTAAGTATGAGATCAGATAACAGGCTTGAAACAAACACACAAAAATGTGCTTGCAATCTTGAAATCACTCATAGGTGGAATGGTAAAGAATTTCAGTCATTGAACATTGCATACCTTGTAAAGCAGGTTAACTTTCAACTTTCATTTATTGGAAACTGAAACTCTATACATTAACTGGATTTTGTGTCCATAGAGTTTAAGACAGATAAGAAAGAGATGACTAATCTGTTTTATTTTTTTGCAGTGAGAATGCTAAATGTCACGGTCTAGCGCAGCATGAAATCTTCCTAACAACTATGAACTGCCGGGGATTTATGGACTCAGCTGTACTCTTTCCTTCCAATTGTATAGTCTGAGCCTCATAGACTCCAAGTGGTACAACACAACGTTTCCAAATCATCAACCAGACAATGTTGAGTTTTGAACAGTGAGAGAGGAAGGACATTAAAGCAAATTACGAGATTCGCTGGGTACAGGAAAATCCTAAACTATTTACTGTTTTTAACCATTTTACCATTGCTTAGACAAAGAAGCACACTTGTAAAAATTAAATGTTTCCTTTGTCCAGGTTATCAACTTGCTTCCTTTATTTAAAATACCAGCTTGGCTATATTTTGAAATGAAATTGAGATTTAACTGAACACACACACTCACATACCCACAGTCACATGTTCCCCATATCTCTTTCAGGGAATAACTGAGTTCAGATTCCTGGTGTCTCAAATTGCCAAGGCTGTGTGTTTATAAAAGCATAACATTGCATGTTTTTTAATACTGTAAAACTACTACAGTATACAGTAAAATAATAATAAAAAAAAAGTGCATACATATCACAGTATAGATTTAAGTATGTTTTTTACTCTTTTTTAGCTTATTATTTGGACCATCAAAATAAATCTCAAAAACCGTGTCACACCTAGCAGAAAATGATTTGGTTAAAACCCACTCACCCAGTACAAATCTTGCCCCAAACCGTAACTAAATGAAACCAGCCATGTGCTGGGGCGGTTCTTGTTCTCACTCACACACTTTGTTTACTTGGGCTTGAACCAGGCGGCTGAGACCTTTAACTTGAATCTTTCACAAGAATTATTTACTGAAGTCTAACTGTTCGACATGCAGGCAGAGAAAATACATACAGCATCCTTACCAGTGAAGTATTTTCAAGTAAAATGCATTTGGACTAAGAAACTACAAAGAACTACCATGGAGATTTTCATAGTATTCGCCAGATATACCTATAAGCAAATTAGACAACAGAGTTTGAGAGCGGGGCCTCGGTGCTGTAGCTGAAGGCCACTGCTAGAACCCAAGTTCTCATAGGAAGTAGGTTTGTCTTGTTGGTGACTGTCTCCCCAGGTCTGTAGAAGAGTGCCTGTCATGTGATTGATATGCACTCAGTAAATACTTCTCAATGAACTAAAGGATGAAATGGTTCACAAAAGTAGCACTGTTCACTTGCTCACTGGTGGAGTCCATACTTCTGGGAACATTGTAAGGAGGCTTACTTACTTAATGTGGGTGTTGACTACTCACTTGGCTCCCACATCTCCCTGGGAAGTAGTAACCTCTCATCTCAACTGTGATGAGACAAGGCCACCATCCATGCCTGTGACAGGAAGAAATTTCCTGTGCTGTCTGTTCCAACACGACTTCTTATACCACTGTGTGGAGAAGGCACCTGATAGATAAAGTGAGGACTGAGGAATCATAGGACAGGTGAGTAAGCAGGGAGCGGGCCCTTGTGTGAGGAACTGGGAAGCAATATTGCCCATCGGCACAGAGTTTTAATCACACAGCACAGAAAGGTGAGCAGCTGCCAAGGGAGTGAGTCTAATTAGTGATGTGAAGCAAACACCTCAGGTGCAGAATTAAGGGTATGTGTCAAACAGCAGCCCAGAGGTAGAGCCAGGAAGGAGATGGCACATTGGCTGATGAGTAAACTCAATTCTGGATTTTTTTCATTAGTGGGATTTACATTTACTAAAAACCACACAAACCAGCTGACAGAGTCTCACCTCGTAAATCGTCGGCAGACAGATCTCTTGAGTCCACGTCCCGTTGGGGCATTCCTGGGCTCGTACACACTTATTGTGGCACCAGCCACACTGCACAAAGGCAGGGGCTAAGAGACATTGACTGCAGGACTGGAAATGTTCACAGCCCAAGCCATCTAATGGGATCTTGGTTATCTGTGAAGAAAAGTGAGAGAAAGAGCTTCCAGAGGATTTTTTTTTTAAATTGATTTGTTCAGTAAAAACTAAATGGGCGAAAGATTCATGTAAATACTCTTTTATAGAGTCTACTTAGGTAGTACCTCTGTGTGCAAATCATGTAGGAATGATTAAACGACTAAAATGCAACAAAAATCAAATTCTTTTCTTTATCACATATGATGGAAGGGAAATCACGGTCCAGTCACCACAGCACTATCATTGCAATAGAGGTTCTAATGATAGTCACTAGAAGTTTAGTAGTGATTTTTGTCGTGTCTGAGATACATTTAAAATAACAGGAGAGTATAATCTTAGCTGCTGGAAAACATACTTGAACCCCCAGGAAATTCTAAGTAAGCTGACATATCATTCTGGCAGCAAGATGTACCTCCTTCTCTCCGAGAAAAAGGATTAATGGCTGGAGTTAGATTGCAATGAACATTTCCAGAATGGATCTGCCTGCAGTAAAGCTTTGCCATTAGGTCTGTAATCCTCATTCCATGTGTGCTTTTCTCATCGAGAAATATAGGCCGAAGGAGAACTGCCTGTAATGAAGACAATCTCCCTTAGGTCCAAGGAGGTCCCTTACTCTTTATATATTTATTTAATTGTGATTTAGGTGAAGATTTACAGAGCAAATTCACTTTCCATACAGCAGTTCACATATACTTTGTCTCATGACATTGACCACAGTTTACCACAATGCAACAGCT